ACACATATGCACAACCACACACACACACACACACACACACACACAGGGATGGATTAAGAACTAAAAACTATCAAATGAAGAACTAATAATTAAACTCTGCTGAATATTATAGAAGCTTTTGCAGGTTTGTTAAACTTACATGAGGGTCAGATAGGATTCAATCACAATAGCCTTTTTTGTGACTTCTATATAAATAAATAAATAAATAAATAAATAAATAAATAACTAGAAACAAACTACAGAAGCACCTAAACACCTTTCCATGAGCCTGTGATTCTGTTCTGTAGTTATTTACTTTAAGTAAGGAACCATGAGCTCTCTGTGCCCAGTCCCTTATTTATGACGAACATAAATAGTCCGTTCCTTTGTAGAGAAAGCAGGTGATCACAGCATGCTCCTCTATACAGGTCTGTGCTCTGCAGAACATGCATGTGTTCTGTGATCTACTTCTCCCAGACAATTACTATTAAGATATAATATATGTTCCATGAGCATTACATGTTCATAACAATACCGTATCTTATACATCTACAAAGAAAGGCCTATGTGAAGTTCCACTCCTAAACTGTCCCATGTCTGGCCCTGCATTGAAATATTTTTCTCTTTTAAAAATTAACAATGATTTCACTTTTATCTTAGGGTATTATTATTATTATTATCGTTATTTTGGTTTTTCAAGACAGGGTTTCTCTGTGTAGCCTTGTAGACCAGGCTGGCCTCAAACTCACAGATATCTGCCTGCATCTGACTGCTTAGCTCTGTGACTAAAGGTATATGCCACCACTGCCTGGCCTGTTTATTTTTCAATAAGTAAGTTTTAGTGCATCCCTTCCCTTCTTCATTGCCCCACACTTCTGTTGCCATGTTCATTTTGGGCTACTGTGTTGTTGACGTTGTACTCCAGGCTATCCTCCTGTGAGTACCATGTGATTTGATTTCTCCTATTCTTTCTGTTTCCTCACATCTCCAGGACATTTATTTCACAATAGTATTACAATTATTACAACTTTCTCTCAGCTTTCTATTCTCACCTATAAGCACCTCAATTCTCAGTTTCACCTAGTAACACTGAGGGATGCTTTGCATGATATATAGGTAATAGTCTGAGAAGTAGGCTGACTTCCACAGTTCACTTTGGCTTTAAAAATCCCAAGTTTCTAATCTAGTCAATAATCATCTTTGTAGCTCACATAATGTATAACAGATGAAATTTAGACCTTTGTTAATAATTGTGAGACTGAATATTAAATTTTTACATGATTTATATATAGTCACAAACTGAGGGAGAGTATTAGTCATTACTAATGTCAATTTGGCCTATAGCTTTAGTGCTAAGGTTCTATTGTGTCAAGAAGTGTGATGTTGATTGCAGTTTCATTTCTTTATCAGTACAACTGTTTTTCCTGGGACATGGTGTGCAACTATCAGTATTTTAGGAGCTTTAAATGAATACTAATGTGGAGCCAGGTATAGAGGCACACACTTTTAATCCCAGTACCTAGGAGGGTAAAGCAAACTAATATTTTTTTCTTTTTTGCTTTCCTATATATTTTTTTTAATTTTTAAGACAGGGTAGCTTTGTAGATCAAATCAAGCCTGCCTCTTCCTCCCAAGTGATGAGATTAAAGGTGTGTGTGATCACTGCCAAGCTAAATTTCTAATTTCTAATATCAAGGCCAACCTAGTTTACCTCTTGAGTTCCAGGACAGCCAGAGCTACATAGTGAGACCCTGTCTCAAGACAAACAAAAAAACTAATGCAATAATGCAATATGGTTATTCCCAGAGGTATTGAAGTAATTAGCCTAGGCATAGCTTGGACATTAAATTTTCCCCATACTGTAAGATATTAAGCAAAATAAATCTGTCCACTTCTGATTTCTATGTCTCTCAGTGTTCCCACAGAGTTCTTCTGAACTCTGTCTGGGCTCTTGTCATTAATGATCCTCTGTTCTTTCATCCATTGCTTGCTACAGAGAGTAGATAACCATAGAGGACCACAAAGTCGACTGTTCATGCCAACTTTCCTCCACTGATTACCACGAGATGATTAAAATAGCTTTGCTACATTCATAATCTGTCAAATGGGTCTTTTAGAGTTCTAGACCCTTGGCACCCCATGGTATGTACTCAGTGTTGAACTAGATTCCAGTTCAACAGACCTTTTATATCCTAGTCTTTGTACTGACAATGAAATTCCCTCAGAACATGGTGATGTATATCAATAATTCCAGGTTAAGGAACCAAAATCCTCAGTTCTAGGTCTACTTAGGCTGGCAGAGACTGGCAGAAGTGTGTTGGAATAGGGGGAAGAAATCCTATGAACTTTGAGAAAAGAAAAGCATTAACTGTTTCCATCCCTGATTCCCAGCCTTTGAAATTGCCTTTCTATTCTGGGATGATGTTGGGCAACATGTGTACCAGTAAGTCAAATCTTCATTATTTTTAAGAGCAAGCCACACCTTTTACTTATTTTTTTTATTGAAAATCGATTCTTTCATAAATAATATCACTGAACATAGCTTCCCCTTCCTTCACTTCTCTTAGCTCCGTCCAACTCCCCTCTTGCCCAGATACACTCCCTCCATTCCCCTTCAGAAAAGAGCAAACTTCCAAGAGACAAGGACAAAACAAGATACAATAAGACAAGGCAACTTCCCTCACACTGTATATGGACAAGACAATTCAATAGAGGGAAAGAGGCTGGTCTCTCTCCAAACTTGTATTTTTTTAATTAAAATTATTATTTAGGTCTTTGTGAATTTTGTACAATGTGTTTTAGTTTTATTTATTCCCCTCCCAGATCAACCACCCTTTTGTACCCACACAACTTTGTGTATGTTTTTAATACCATCAAATCCAATTTGTGCTGCCTTTACAAACTTGGACATGAGACCTTCCACTGGAGTGTGTTCAACTTATCAGGGACACCCTTAACAAAAACTGACTTTAATTCTTTTAACAGCTCCCAATGGTCAATAGTTTCTTAGTTAAAGGTGGATGATGTGGATAATGCCTGTTATGTCCCTTTAGGCTTGGGTCCTGAAACACTGGCTAGGGCCAGCAAAGAAAGGACATACACAGAGACACACATACAAGAAGCTGGCAGGTGGGATTCTCTCTGATCACTACCACTACAACCCAGAACCTCATGTTTCTGAGGTAAAATACATAGGGAAGGGTTAGCTACTCTCAGTAGGAGGTCTCTGTAGGTTAGTATTCTCAGGTTGGAGGAACAGGCTGTAATTGTTAGTCTTTGCACACACTGATCAATCCCTCATAAAGTGTCATTCAGGTTTCTGAGGAAAGCTTTCCAATCTTTCTTGAACCTGGCCTACACTGGTAATGTCTTTGCCAATTTACCATGGACCAATTGGTGTCAGAGTCCTTGCTTGACTGCCCTTGTTTATGTCAAAACACACATTCACCCAGGATTTCACTCCATGCTTCCTCCATTCCTTCAGGAACCCACCTCTGCTCTTCTGTACTTTTGTCTTGGCCTGAGCCTGCTACCTCTTCTCACTGCCATGAATGCATATGTGCAATCACCCTGCTCTATTCAAAAATCACTGTTTCCTTGTAGTCATCTATAAGACAGTTGTACTAGGAAGCTGTTCAGGGTTTTGTTTGTTTGCTTTTGTTTGTTTGTTTGTTTTGTTTTTCTCAGCCTGTCAATTCAGGTCTAATCCCCATGTTTATAATCTGTGCTGATAGCCAACTTGAAACTAATTATGTAATGAGATATGGTCATGCAAGTCAAACTCCTACTGCTAACCATAGGGATTAAAAATACTGCAACATCATAAAACCTGGGTAGACCACAGTATTGGTATGAGAATCTAGCCAAGTAACATATTTTTTTTAATTAGTTTTGTCTTTTTCTGTTAATCCCTGTCTCTAAAGTCATCAGGAGACTGAAGCAGGACATTAGGTGTGTTGAGGCTGTCCTAGCAACACAGATATCTCTAGGATAGCCTGACATATATATCGAAAAACTATCTGAAAAGAAAAAAGTATTTACTTACTTCTGTTTGATACTGTAGATTGATGGTAGAGGAGTTCTCTCCCCATCACTGAAAACAAGCTCCAAATTAAAGATTTACAAGTTTTCTAAAGCTGTTGGAGTTGTTTGGTTTTTGAGACAAATTCTAAGTATGCAATCCTGGCTAGTCTAGAATTCACAGAGATATCCCTGCCCCTGATTCATAGTCCCAGTCCTGAAACTGTCTTCTAAAGTATAATTTACATACACATACATCAAAAAAAATCTATAAACTAAGTACCAAATTAATATTTTTGTAATATACATGAACTAATATATACTTTTTGTTAAAGAAGGAATACACTATATCCCTCATTTTGGGTGGTTACCAGAAGCAATGACTGTTATAATTTCTGAAGTTAGATTTTTTTTAATTAATAAATTCAGTGGATATTTTAAGTAATACTTTTTATCCTTGTTCTATATCTGGCACAATAAATTATTCTGGAAGCTTTCTAATTAAGTTTAAAAAGTGAGACTGTGGACTCATTTGAGAGTTCAAATAAATAAACCATGCATGAATCGATTGTATCTTGGTGAGAATGGATTTTTAACACACAGCCCAATTCAATATGGGGTTCAATGAAAATACCATCTTGTCTAGATTCAGCATCTGCTCCTGAACCTTTTTGCTTTGAAATTGCAGTCATTCAAAATCACCTCTATTTTATTTAAATTTTGAGTAAGATGCGTCTTACCCAAGTAGATGCTTTTAAGGGATGTTAAGAGGCAATTCAACTGTTAAGCTGTGTCTGAGACTAATATTAATTAAAATGTGATTTAACATTCTGTGTTATTGTCCAAAATAAAAATTTAAACTGTCCTTGATTAGAAGTCATGGCATATTATCAATGCTTAATTAAAACTGTGCCTCATTCATATTCTCCTTCCCCCTTTCCTGTCTCTCTCTCATTTCTTTCCATCCAACTGTCCTCATATTATTATATTACATGTTTTAGCCACAGTCTTCCTTGAGTTTTGGAAAAGAAGAAGAAGTATACTGACCTACGCTTGGGACCTTATTGAATGGGAAGAAGAGGAGGTAAGATATAAGAACAGAAGAAGTTAAGGAATCTGGGGGATCAATGCACAGAGCAGGATCAGATGCACATCATTATATTACACTGACAAGATTCCTCACTTCATGAAGCTAACAGGGGTCAAGGGTCAAGCATATATTGTTAAAACTATTTCTATGTTTTCTTAGAGTGTATCCAAAGAAAAATGTGTTAAGTAAAATACACCCAGAGGTTTACTTGGATTATAATTGGCCTTGTTCTTTAAAAAGTTGTATCTTTGAGCAAACAACACAAAAGCTGGCTATGTTTAAGAGTTCATATTAACTCTTAAAAGTTTTTTTTTTTTTTTTTGTTTTAATTTGTGGTCTTGCTATTTTATCTGGGTAACCTTAGTTTCTCCCATAGGAAACACTTCGCCCCCAATTTGAAGCAAAATATTACAGGATGGAGGTGATAAACCCCATCACAGGAAAACCTGAGCCTCATCAACCTTCATCTGACAAAGTCACACGTCTTCTTGTATCTGTCTCAGGAATCTTCTTCATGGTAAAATATTGTCATCTACATGAGAAAGCTGTGGGGCTGCAGGTTTAGAAAGATAGTCCAGCATGCCAGCTCATCTTGTTCTCCTAAGAATGCAAAAGTTTGCCTGCTGTTCCCCTGAGGCAGGCAAGACTCTTCCTGTCTCTCATTTCTCTTCTGTCCTCTATTGATGTGTCTTAGTGTCTCTTTACCTCTTTTTCTCTTTCTTCCTCCTCATCCCCCTTCCCTTTCTAATAAAACTTCTCAAAAAAAAAAAAAAAAAAAAAAAAAAAGAAGAAGAAGAAGAAAGAAAGAAAGGAAGGAAGAAAGAAATGTATTCTTTTCAGTATCACACACACCACATTACATATATGTGGACACCATAGCCAGTTTGTGACATTTTATTAGAGCATCTCTTTTTAATGAAACACTTATTGGAAGAATAGTTAAGTGGAAATTCTGAGAGTGAAATATCTCCTTAAAACCAAGCAGTCTATATGAAAGAAGAACTTTGGACAGAATTTGCACTTTAGTGTAATAATTGTTCTCTATACTAAAATAATGCAAATATTTCTTGTTTTAGTTTCAGTTTCTTTTATTCCCTAATTTACTTATTTCATTATATACAGGCCCTGGGTGCTCTAGCAATGAGTTACTATTTATTCATTTAATATAACAGATAAAGTGTGTGCTTGCAAATGTAATGCTTAAATCTAGCTAACTAGATTCGCATGTTTAAGCTTAAATAATAAATTGTTTTATAATTCTAGTTTAACTTTCTCCCTTAAAGGAGACAATATCATTTACATATCCTTTCCCAGAAAAATAGATACCTTCAACTTTTGGAGTATTATTGGGTGGTTTGCTTGTCATACTTTAGTAACACAAAAGACAAGGTGTCCTCTCTGCTCCCCCACCATACAGATCTCCTTGGTCATCACAGCAGTGTTTGCAGTTGTAGTATACCGCCTGGTTGTCATGGAACAGTTTGCATCATTCAAGTGGAATTTCATCAAACAGCACTGGCAGTTTGCTACATCGGCTGCTGCTGTCTGTATCAATTTCATAATCATCATGCTGCTGAATCTTGTAAGTGTTCATGGATAATTTTTAAATAGGCACTAAGACAGTGAGAAAAGTGGTGTGTGTGTGTGTGTGTGTGTGTGTGTGTGTTTACATATATTTTTCTGTTCCAAACAGCTCATTTTAACAAGAAGTAGTTCATCCAGCTTTGTTTATTCATTGGATTTTTTATTTTTTTGAGGCAGGTCTCACATAGTGAGAAAAAGTTTATCTGAACCATTTTTCTTCTTTAAAATATTTTGTACCATGTGTCTATTTTGGATAAAGGCCTAATGTACTTTTTATTTACACAAAGCAAAGACTAAAGTCACTAAAGTGAATGTCTACCTGGGAAGACCTCAGAAGATAGCTAAGGATAACCCTAATTCAGCTATCAAGTCACTCATTCTAACAGCCTTACAGTCTTACCACCTCTACTCAGTGACTCTGATGCATAAGTCTTTTTTAATACTGCAAATGAAATACCCAGAGCTAGGAGAACTCAGGCTCAACAAGTTTTCTCCATTCTCATATCTTCGTTAGACATTTTTTGCATTGATATTAGAAGATTATTATATTACGAATTCTTCTTCCCTCTTACAACTATCATGCAGAAGATTTTTGAGTGGGTTTAGCATAAGCAATGTAAGTATACAGCCAATTCAACCAGTGTGAAAATAACTTTATATTCTTCAGAGTCAATCAGTTAATAATGCTCTTCAGAAATTACTTATTTGCTTCCTATCCAAAATATTAAGGTACTTCACAAACTATTAGAAACTTTAATTCACATGAATATACAGGATTAATTTGAGAGCTTAAAAAAATAAGAACACAATAAAATGTCAAATATTATATTATCAAAATGTTCATCTATCTTGTTATTTTCAGGTTAAATTCAATACTCATGTTTAAAATGTGCTTATGAAGGACTGAGCCTAAGTAAAAAATATTCTTTTAGTCTAATGTGCTTTTCAGCTCTAATCTGAATGCATTAAGTTATGAAATGTAGGCATGGAAAAATACTTTAATTCATCAAGCATTTGTCTTTAAATCAGGAGTCTTCTAGGCTCTCAGGAAATATAAGGTATTACACAAATCATGTGCTATTCTAGTGCATTATTTTCTTTTTTTATCCTATTTCTGATTTCCTGTGAATTTTGTTTCTGAATCTTCATTATCCCGGCTCTGCTGATTCTCCTATCTACAGTTTTTGCTTAGCAATAGGCACCTAACAACTCAGTCTTCCTGTGTCTTTCTCAGACTTTCTCTCACTGGCCACAGACAAAGAAGCTGAAAGAGTCTGTGTCAATTACATATTTGAACATTTCTTTTTTTACCTGAGATTGTTTAATGAACTTCATTCCCTCCAATGTAAATTATAAATTCTTTAGCTTAATAAATGAGACACTGCTTTATTTAAGCCTGTTTTTCCTTTCTCTTGTCTAAAGCTGCCCCTCCTCTGCCCCTTTCACCCGTCTCCCCTCCCTACCTCCCCCCGCCCTCTTGTCTGCATTTCATCATGAAGAACCACTTTCTCTGGTCCTGTACTCTGTTAATTCACACCCCCAGTTTCTTGATTCACAGAGCTTTCTCTGTCTGAAATGTTCTTTTTTCCTTTTGTATCCTTGGAGAATATCTCTTCATCGCTGAAAATAGCAGTTAAGGATCACTTCCTCCATACAGTTTTTCTAGGTCCCATATGTAGAACAGAATTACATCTTTGTTTTTATTTTTGTCATGAGGTTCTTGAACTGCCTTTTGTTCCCATCAATGGAAGTCCTGGAAGAATTAAACACTATCTTTGTGAACATTCTTTTGTTGCTTGTCTTAATACATTTCTCCTACTGTTAAAATGTTGAGTTTACTTAGCCAAGGGCATGGCTTCCTCTTCTTGTTGTTTGTTGATATGTTTTAATCTAGGTCCACATGTCTTATTTTTTTTTAATGTTTGTACATTTAAAATATATCATTTGAGTAAATTGTATTTTACTTTTCAATGTTGTAGTATCCTGTATATTATGTGACCAAGTTAATTTTTGTTGCTAAAATTATATTCTTAGTGTTTTTCCAGTATGTAGCTATATTTTAATTTAAACTTAAACTAAACCAAAAGCTGTACTTTCCCAAATGCATGCACAGTTTGAAATATATATATATATCATGACATGTCTAAATAAATATTCAATTGAGGAAAAGCAGTGCATTCTACTGCAATTAAAATTTAAACATATTTTTATTATATTGATCATGAAAGTAATTTTAACAGCATATGCCATTCAAACTATGTATCAAATTGTCTTCAGTAGCTCCTTTGTGGAGCTAAGAAAACTGTATCACAAACAAAACACTCTAAAATTCTTTGCTGATTCTGATCCAGTCAGTCCCTAAAACCACTAATTTGTGTCATTTAAAATAATAGTGATACACAGCCAAGATGAGAAAATTCATCTTCAAGAAATAGATCACAAATAATTCAAACACAATTAAATTTTCAATTTCTTCCTTTAACATTCACTTGCCAAAAATGCATCTTAAAAATCTAGGAGGACAGAACTTGAAGAAACAGTTGCTTCCTAGACCCCCCCCCCTTTCTGACTTTGTTAGACTTTGACTCTATCCATGTTGCTGTAGATACCATAGTTCGTATTACATCTGCAAAGTATTGTGAGGAAAATAAAAATGTGAAAATTCTCCCAAAAATATATACTTTTGCTACTTAATTTTGTCATATTATAGTAAAATAATAGCTGCTTGGCACTGTAAATAAAGAGTAACTCTTAAATAAAAACACAAAAGAAAGAAAGGGAAAAAGAGAGAGGGGGATAGAGAAAGAAAGGGAGGAAGGAAGGGCTAAGCAGATGCCCTCTTGTGCTTTGAAAGTTCCAGGAGTAAGTCACCCAAACCTTTACTACAAAGTCATTCAAAGAATGATCTCCTTTGAGTATTTATGTGATTATAAATGTGTTTAATAGACAGAGAATATAATACTGGGGTAGGGGGCTCTAATACATTAGCTAATGTAAATCATCTATGTTAGTTCTGTTGTCCACTCCATCTTGAACATCTACCTGTAGAAATCAGAGCATTCATTACTATGTTTCCTTCAAAGATCCAATCACTTCAATGGAAATCCTAAAATATACATTTATCTTTCCTGAATGGCTAGGTATCTCATCACCAATGGTATAAAATATGTTATTATAGATTTGAGTGGATCAAAGATTTGGGCCACACCTCTTAACTAGGAAAGTAATTCAGGCCAAATGATTCATTTAGTAAAAGATTTTACTTTTTAAAAAACAATGTGCTTGTTTGATGTGCTCATGTCCATGCTAAAGGTTTCTAGGAGTCTGGAAGTAATAGATACTAGAAGACAAGTCTCTTAGACTCTGCAGGCTAGTCTGTATAGAATTAATATTCACAGTGGAGTCTGGGCAGTCATGCTCTGATGCAGAGACAACATGCACTATAACACACAAAACTCCCTGTTCTGCCCTTCCTGCATTTGCTGCTCTTTTCTTCCCAGTTTATTTTTACATAATGAACCACTACAGCATTAGTAGAACGCTTATTCCTTCTAAGCTCAGAATGAATTCTAAAGTGATTGTCATGGTCAAAAATGCCCTGGAAACTGGTTTCTCTTCAGGATTACTCTGGCTTAACAATTACTGATTTTCTCTACTGTTTCTGCCACTCCTGACCAAAGTCTATGTCCATTGTTATGAGACTATCAGTCTCAGAAGCTGTGCATTCTTCTTCATGTTCCCAAGCTATTTACCCAGTCCACATTTTTGCTTGAAAATCTTTCTTGCTACTGAAGGAAGTGTCCTGTTTTCCAAAAGGATTTTCTACTGGACATTTTTAAACATATTTGTTTTAGTTTTGGTTTTCAAGACAGAGTTTCTCTGTGTAGCTTTGGCTGTCCTGGAACAAACTCTGTAGACCAAGCTGGTCTTGAACTCACAGAAAATCTGCTTACTATATGTAACATGTAACTTTAGAAGCTCTCCAGTGTGGTATCCTGTGTACTATGTAGGGATTAGAATCAGAATGGTTGTCTGTGATCCTGTTTGTCTTTTCCTTCCCGAGTTATATAGCCATTTCATTGCATGTAGTCAAATTCACACACAATCTTCTCTCTCAACACAGTTGCTGCTATATTCCATACATTTGAATGTGTTTAACTCAGGGGTTCTTCCTGCTTTTATAGTTAGATTTAACATTTTGTGTACTGATTGTAGAATATAGCATATGGGTGGTACCAATTAGTCATTTGGGTCTTAAATATTCAGGGTCTTAACTAACCTGGATAAGTTTCAAACAACTATTTTTAACTATCTTCCAAATGTTACTGTCATCTCTTTGGGCATCCACCTAAAGATATTTCATCACAGAATTGTAGACAGGCTCTATATACCAAGTACTAAGACAATGAATAAATGGTAAAAGGTGTTTATAAAAGAACATCCTTACTTCTTACCATTCTTCTTACTTAGTATTTTATTCTACCAGGCCGTGTGCTCAGAATTCTCAGTTTTGATCCCCTGTGGGATCAAAAGTATTGTGGGATTATTATACTCACTTGGCAAAATCGTTGTGTGTAATTAAAGTACTGGCACAGGTGAAATACTGTAAATGGCAACTATTTCAACAGAATTGGTTTTCAGTCTGTATGAGGACATTCAATACTGACAAACAGTGGCTGGTCAAGTTATTCATAAGCTGATAAAGTCCATCCTACTAAAATTCTGACTCATAATGGGGGCATGAAAAAGAGCATTTTTTATGAAAATAACATGGGCTTACAAAATCAAAGTGATCCTGTTTAAAATTTGCAAATGTTAGGTCATAAGTAGAAATAAAATAAGTCCAAACTGCTGCACGAGAGAGAGAAGAATGTTTACTTAATATACTCTGTCTCAAGAGGGTCTTGGACTTAAAAAGAGGTACATTCAGATCATGGCTAATATGAAATAGCAATAGTTTTATTGAAAGAGTAGTCAGAGAATATGGAAAATTCTTTAAGTATTTAGATACATTTCTTGAATTTTTAATATTTTGGTATGGCTATTGTTTTTTGTCCTAATTTACTTTAAGTATATATACATGTGTCTGGGTATGTGTATGACACATGTGTATGGGCACCTGATCATGCCAGAAGAAGGTATCAGATCCCCTAAGGTTGGAGTGGGAGACAGATTTAAGTCCTATCTCAGCAATTAGCTAACTGAATGAATTTTGGCAATTTTTCTCTTAGTTTAGGGGGCAAGTATTCAATGTAAATAAAGATGGTCGAAAAGATTTATTTTGCAGGTAATAAGGTGTCCACATGTATACATATACATGTTTCTAAGCTCATTCATAGTTCAGCAATTTTGTGTGTATTCACACACACTACATAGTGTGTGTGTGTTAATAAATATGTTTCCTTTGCTAAAAATGTGTCCTTTCATAGACACACTTTAAATACTTCTTTGAAGAAGGTAAATTCTAGCACTATATAAAATAGAATATTTATCTGTATACTCCTTTGCAGGCTTATGAAAAAATTGCGTACCTCCTCACTAACTTAGGTAAGTTCATTTCCTTTATTTTGCTTGTAATGACTGAATAACTATGTGCACATAGTTTTGTGTGTTCTATCATTTTTATGTCTTCAGTTAAACAAAGATGTGCAAATTAACTACAGAGAGGTGCGGCTGGAAATTGATCTACATTAGACAGCACAAAGAGGCAATGTATGTCATCAGAAAGTATTCATTAGGTAGCTAGGATACTTATTTATCATTACTTGGAAATTTTTTCCCCAGATTTCTCAGTTTCACCCAGCTCCATGTGTATGTGATGTGTGTGTGTGTGTGTGTATGTGGGGGTGTCACAAACACACTTAAACCTGTGTATGGAGGTGAGTGGAAAACTTGAAGGAAACGATTTGATTCTTTCCTTCCATCAAGCAGAGTTTAGGCTCTGGAGTGAGAATGCATGAGTTGAAATATGTGTTCTACATCATTTTCTAGTTAGGTAGAAGGTAGTGAAAATAGCTTTGCTTCTTTTTTCAGAACATTTTTTATATTTTTAATATTTGTGTTATTTTACATATCGATCCCAGTTCCATCTACCACTCATCCTCCCATGCCCCTTACTGAACCCTCATCCCATCCCACATCAATTCCCAGGGAGGGTGGGGCCTTCAATGAGGGATCATCAAACCCTGTCAAGTAATTTGGAGTGGGAGCCTAGGCCCTCCTCCATGTCTCTAGGCTAAGGGATATTCCTCTATTGTGAATGGGCTCTTGGAGTCTGTTCCTGAACTAGGGATACATCTTGGTTCCATTGTCAGATATACCACAGATTTCCAAGGCCTCCTAACTGAGACCCACATTCAGAGGGTCTGGGTCAGTCTTATGCTGGTTTCCCATTAATCAATCTGGGGTCCATGAGCTCCCCCATGTTCAAGTCAGCAGCTTCTGCGGGTTTCTCCAGACTGGTGTTGACCCCTTTTATTACTACTTCTTCCTTTCTGCAACTTGATTCCAGGAGTTCAGCTCAGTGTTCAGCTGTGGGTGTCTGCCTCTGCTTCCATCATCTACTGGATGATGGCTCTAGGATGGCATATGAGGTAGTCATCAATCTCATTATCAAGAAATGGCCATTAAAGTCGCCTCTCCATTACTGCTTAGATTGTTAGTTGGGGTCATCCTTGTAGGTCTCTGGACATTTCCCTAGTTTGATATTTTTCTTTAAACCTATAATGTCCCCTCTATTATGGTATCTCTTTTCATGTTCTTTTCTGTTCTTCCCCTGACTCAATTTTCATGTTCTCTCATGTTCTCCTCTCCCCTCCTCTTCTTCCTTTCTCTATCTCCTAACATCTTCTCCTCTCCTCATCTGCCTTCTACCAATTTGCTGAGGAGATCTTTCTGTGAGAGACCCTTCTGTGATAGACCATACATGTCTCCCTTAGGGTCCTCCTTGTATCCTAATTCTCTGGCAGTGTGGATTGTAGGCAGTTGATCTTTTGTTCTAAATGTAAAATCCATATATGAGTGAGTACATAACAAGTTCCTGGGTTACCTCACTTGGGATAATTTCTTCTAGTTCCATCTATTTGCTTGTGAATTTCAAGATTCCATTGTTTTTTTTGTTGATTGTTTATTTGTTTGTTTTCCCCTGCTGAGTAGTCCTCCATTGTGTAAATGTACCACCACATTTTTTTTTTTATCCATTCTTCAGTCCAGTTTCTGGCTATTAGAAATAATGCTGCTATGAATATAGTTGAACAGATGTATTTGTTGCAAGAATGTGCATCTTTGGGTATATGTCTAAGAGTGGAATTGCTGGATCTTGTGGTAGACTGATTCCCATTTTCCTGATGAACTGCCATACTGATTAGTGCCTGAGTTAATGACATTATATCAGAAAGTCATCTCCCGTGTCAGCGAATTCAAGACAACTCCCCACTTTATCTTCTGTCAGATTCAATGAACCTGGTTTTATGTTTAGGTTTCTGATCCATTGAAGTTGAGTTTTTTGCAGGGTGACAGATATGGATCTGTTTGCATTATACCACATGCAAAAATCCAATTATATCAGCACTGCTTGTTAAATATGTGGTCTTTTTTTCCAATGTGTATTTTTGGCAAGTATGTGAAAAATAAGAAAATTTCCACTCTTCCTTGGAATATATATAGACAAGTGCATCTATTCTGGAATTATGTTTAGGATTTCAAAAAATATTCCACTAATATCACTTCTGGGCTTATACTTACAGGACTGTACATTTTTAGAAAGATAGTTATACATCTCTGTTTATAATTGCTATTTTCATACAGAAAGTAAAATGTAATTATAGATGTCCATTAACAAATAAGTGGATTATGAAAATAAAGCACTTACAATAAGATTTTATTCAAACATGAAGAAAAATAAAATTTCAGGAAATAAAACTAGCTGAACCTAGAATTCATATTGGGATAATATAGGCTCAGAAAGACAATTGTTATATCCTCTCTCATTTTTGAATCCTAACATCTAACTATTGAATATATCTAGATGAGAGTATACATGGATAAAGGCAAAGAAGCTAAAATCGGATCCACATTACAATTAAAAAAATAATAGACTTTTGCTGCTTGAGTGGTCCTGCCCTAGCATGCCAGACCATCAGGAGCCTGCCTTCCCCTCATCCTTGGCCCTGTTGGGCCCTCTGTTTGGAGTGAGTGTTTCGGCAGCTGGTCCAACACCCCAACCCTCTCCTTGGAACTTCCTGGGTTGGCTCTCCTTATAGTGGACCAGCCCCGCCAACCAGGACCCCACCTGACCCTTGGTTCCCCTTCACCCTTTGTTCTAGGTGAGTCTGGGGCCAGCTCATGTGCAACCCCCACCTCAATCCTATTCTTGGAACTTCCAGAGTCGGCTCTGCATCTTGACTACCCCTATGCTATCTGCTTGAATGGTCTTGCCCTGAGAAGTGGGAACATCTGGAGCCTGTCCTCCCTGCATCCTTTTCCCTGCTGTGCCCTCTGCTTGAGAGACCTCCAGGAGAGCTACAATCATCCAGTGATACTGACATCGAAGTCATGACCCACTTACAACCACCAGGAGAGGAGAGAGACCCCACCTGCACCCACTGGAAGAAGTGATAGGAAGACAGCAGTACAAGAAAAACATTCAACAATAGAAAGACCAATATGACAACACCAGAATCTAGGGACTCTACATCAACTAGATCTATACACACCAAAGCAGATGAAGCAGAAGAGAATGACCTAAAAAACAACTTCATGAAAATGATAAAGTCACTCAGAGATGATATGAGAAAATCCCTTAAAGAAATGGAAGAAAAAACAAACAAACAAAAAATTGGAAGAAATAGAGGAATAGAGGAAAAGACAAAGCAAAAAAAAAAAAAAAAAAAAAAAAAAAAAAAAAACCAATGCAAGGAAAACCAAGAAAAATCAATAAAACAATCAAAGAGGTGAAGGAAACAATTCAAAAGTTAGTTCAAGTAGAGACAATAAAGAAAACACAAACACAAAGTGAGGGAATGCTGGAAATAGAAAAACTGGGTAAATGATCAGGAATTACAGATGCAAGTATAACCAACAGAATACAAGAGATCGAAGAATCTCAGGTGCTTAAGATAAACTAGAGTAAATAGATTCATCGACCAAAGAAAAATCTTAAATCCTACCTATCCTTAACATAAAATATCCAGGAAATGTGGGACACCGTGAAAAGGCCAAATCTAAGAATAATATGTATAGAAAAAAGGAAAGAAGCCCAGCTCAAAGGTACAAAAAACATATTCAACAAAATCATTGAAGAAAACTTTCCCAACCTGAAGAGGGGCATGCTTATGAAAGTACAAGAAGCATACCAAACACAAAATAGAATGGACCAAAAAAGAAAAAAAAAGACCCCTCGTCACATAATAATCAAAACACTAAACATACAGAATAAAGAAATATTAAGAGCAACAAATGAAAAAAGGCAATGTAACATAAGGTAACATATAAAGGCAGATCTATCAAAATTACACCTGATTTCTCCTTGGAAACTCTCAAGGTCAGACGGTCCTGAATAGATGATCTACAAACACTAAGAGTCTATGGATACCAGCCCAGACTACTACACCCAGCAAAACTCTCAATTACTATAGATGGAGAAAACAAGATATTCCATAACAAAACCAGATTTACACATTACATATACACAAATCCAGCCCTACACAAAGTTCTGGAAGGAAAACTCCAACCCAAGGAAATTAACTACACTCATGAAAACATACACAATAGATAGTCCCTCTTTACCAGAACCCAAAAGAAAAAGTGGAGCAAATCTGCTCACAATTCCACTGACAACAACAAATCCAAAACAAACAAGCTGGCCAGGAATTTTAAAGATCTGCCTGCTTCTGCTTTCAGGTGTAGGGATTAAAGGCATGCACTACCACATGGTGAGGATAGTATTTTCTAAGAATGTCATTTAGTATTATTGTGACATATATTAGTTTTGACCCACAAGTCCTGAAGAAAAAAAAATCAGTTAACCTCTAGGAAGTCTACTTCCTTTTGGAGGATATTAAGTTTCATTTCTATATGTTTCTTCCTTTTATCTCTATGTTTTGATGTCTTTTGTAGAAGACTTTTCTGAAGTACTGGGTAAATAATAACTCTCAGTCACTTGAAGTTTTGCCTACATTTGTTTAGTGCATGTGTGCATGTCTGAAAACTCCTTTCACACTCAGTTTTTGGCTCCTACAATGTGGTCTCTAGGAATTGAACTAAGGTGTCTGGTTTGACAATAAGCACAACACAACAAAACAAAAACAATGCATGTAGGACACCTTGTGTTCGCATTGTGTATTGGTTACCAGCCCTATAGAATGGAAAAGATTCTGTGCTATGCTGAAACAATCCCAACTGTTAGAATTTTAGATAGGGTCTCAGATTTGGCAATTTCCATTCAGAGACATGTTTACATCTGTTTGGCCCACCTTATTGTCTGCTGACTCTGAAAAATAGCTATGGCTTTCAGAATACACATACAATAACTATATATATATGTGTGTGTGTGTGTGTGTGTGTGTGTGTGTGTGTGTGTGTGGGTGTGTGTGTGTGTGTGTGTATATATACAGTATCTCCCATAGGGTCTTCCAAGTCATATCTTTATTTGTACTTTATAGTACTTCTGCTACTTCTACCTCTCTGTGAACTAATAAACATGTCTCAGCACTCTTTTCAGGAATTGCCATTTTTCAATCAGTAGCTCCATGCTCAGATTTTGATTTCAACCTCGGCTAATGTAGTTCATTATTTGATTCCAATTAGTTTTCACTTCCTAGGAAGAGACTTCTCCCATCTTTTGGCTTCTTTGTCCTAGTCTCATTAGTTTTTATGCTTCCATATTAATACCTATTTGAATATTTAGTTTGTGGGGATTAAGAAAGGATCCACCTGAATACACATATATTGCAAATACTTAAAGAAAAAAAGGAAAGAAAAAGAAAGGCAAAAGAAAGAATGTGAAGGAGAGAATTTCATTTTCTGACATTTTGGTTGCGAGAATAGCCTTTAATGACTGAACAATCTCTCCAGTCCAAGGTTTATTTCTTAAACAGTTTTATAATAATAGATTTTTTTCCTTCAAAATGAACAAAAGCTATATTCCAAGATTCTGTCTTGCCAATGACTACAACTAGGAGAGAAACACTGGTAAAGTGTTTTTGTTTATTTAGGGTTTTGTTTTGTTTTGTTTTTGGGATAGGGTCTCACTATCTAGCATTGCCTGCCTATGTAAATCAGTTTGGCCTTAAACTCACAAATATCTACCTGGTCCTGCCTCCAGGTACTGGAATTAAAAGCGTATGCTAGACTTGGTTCTTTTCTTCTTAGTGATTTTTTTAAAATGTGTTTTTGTACTTGAAATTTTTGAGTAATACTTCCCATTTCATCATTGCAGACGAACTGTCCAACACACTGCAGAGTGTGCCTTAAGTGTGACTTATCTGTTTCTCTTTCACGGTTGGATAATAAAGAACTTGAACTGAATTATCAAAAACTTTTTTATAAATTGTTTGAGAGCTCTCTTCCTTCCCTGATACCTATGTTGATAAGATATTCTATCTCTAGAAGAGAGGAATTTACAAGAAAGATGGCCAAGAGTATGTGGGGGGAGGTGATATAATTAATAGGTAAAAGAGTAGCTATTTGTTCTAAGTGGCAATAATGTAAAATTTTAACTTAGTATTTGAAATTTTTCACATATGAAATCCCAATGATGGCATAGTTTCTGTTGATCCATAGTTCACAATTAATAATGATGGCTAATTTGACATTTCTTTGTGTAATAAAATCAGACTGTATGTTTGCATGTACTTATTTCTTATATTCTTTGTCTAAGCTAATATATATTTCAGATTAGATGTTAGATGCTATTTACCAAAGAGACAGGATGTTTTTGGTTTTGTTTCTTGGACTTTTCCAAATATTTTATTTTCAGAAGCAACAACAACAACAACAAAAAAGGTTCAAAGTTTCAGTTCACACTTTGTAAAGATGGGAATAAATATCCATTACTCCAAAATGGGATTTATTTCACTTTTTTATTTTAGGGTTTTGGTTACTGAGAATTGTATCAAGATGATTGTCAGCTGTTTACAAAAAAAATAAACAATTACCATGATAATGAGTGCCCTTGATTACACAAATCCAGATTCTGGGAAACAAAGTTGGCCAAGTCGTGAAAGTATAGGCTTCATCAGAAGTCAAACTGAGTCATATCATTACCATCTTAAAACTCAGAAACCATCTAAGGCACACGAAATATAATTTTAAAGTAAATTAACATTTTAATTAACCTCATTTGTGACTGGTGATGATGCAAATACCTTGCTTATCAGCAGTAGCTAGTTTATTATCAGCATCTAGATGCATTAAGGTAAAGCTAAGAAATAATTGGGCCATAATGCATTATTCTAGAAAACAATATTATATTCCAAAGTTTAGAATTCACTTTCCTCTCCAAGTTAAATGATCATTGAAAAAGAGCCATAATTTTTTCATGAAACGTGTTATAAAATTATTGTTTTGTTACTTATAGTAGAGAACCTGAGTTAATATGAGAAACTGTTATTATTAAAGTAAGCTCTTCTTGCTATACTTATTGATTCATGGCATCTTATTCCAAACTTAGTAGCACAGGATAATATTTTCTTTGGTTTATAAGGAACTATAACCAGATTAACTTGCTGGGCAGTTTTCCTGCTCTTGATATAGAGATGTTAACAATGGTCTCTTCACTCACATGCTAAACCTCATGTTGGGTTTTTGGGATGGCTAATCTCTTCCATTGACTTCATCTCTCTCCATGTCCAGTCTTGGATGTCTGTCTTGAGCTTGTCTGTAATAGTAAAATAGCATTTCTTACATGACTTCTAGCTTGTGAGACAAGACACACATGTAGAAGCTCTTATGCTCCTTTATTTCATCTTTCTAGTTTCATGTTGGTAAGATTGCGGTACATTGCTCAAGTTCAAAGTCAACATCAGAGGCAATTGTATCAGGTCTTATGTAGATACTTGAAGAAATAATCCACAGGGGATTAGTATAAAGATCTATCCTGAGAAATCTTCATGACAGAAAAACTGTAATCTTGCTCAGAATATATAAAAAATGGAATAGCACATGTTGAATCCACCTCATTTCTCAGAATGATTTACCCAATTAAGTCTTAGCAGTCTAGACATTTTTTCATTCAAAATGTAACCTATATGGAACTTTTATTGACCCAAATGGATTTTTCCACACCTTACTCTTCCTATAATGGCTTATGATTATTTGTTTTGTAACCTATATGTTCTCTTTTGCTTTTCATTGCAAGACTGAAAAGTGTTAATGATGAAACACTGAGTTTTTTTGTCCACTTCATATATGTCAATAGTTTCTGTTTCTTATAGAATATCCTCGAACAGAATCAGAATGGGAAAACAGCTTTGCCTTGAAGATGTTCCTTTTCCAATTTGTCAATCTGAACAGTTCTATCTTCTATATTGCATTTTTTTTGGGAAGGTGAGTTAACTTTAAATATCCTGTCATTACCAGGAAGAAAACAAAGCAGAAACATCTCAACTGCCAATTAGGTAACAGAAGTGGAGAATTCTTAAACTCTACCTTAGACTATTATGTAATAGGCCAGGTGGCACGTGCTTTAATCCCAGCACTCAGGAGGCAGAGTTTGAGACCAACCTGATCTACAAGAGGTAGATCCAGGATAGGCTCCAAAGCCACAGAGAAACTCTGTCTCAAAAAACCAAAAACAAAACAAAAGAATATTATGTAATAGATTTTACATGTATTCTTTCTTACTTATGTAATCTCTGACAGCTACTACCACACACACACACACACACACACACACACACACACACACACACAAGAGAGAGAGAGAGACAGAGACACAGAGAAAATACCACCTACAAATTATCATCTAATTATTACTAATTATTTTGTTTAGAGAAAAATAGCTATGATTTCTTGATGTGTAAACCAAGATTTTTTACTTTTCCTTCTTTGATCTAAAATTTGAGAAAATAAAATGTAAAATATTAAGGAGCACAGTTTGCTATTTGGTTAACCCTTCATCCACATGGTGCCATGGGAACACTCAGAAATCAGAAACATTTTGAACAAAACCATTCAGTATGCTATGATGATATTCATTAATCTGGCCCACACATTATTAAAATTCTACATGGAACAAAGTATTAAATATCACCAGCTTGATGTATCTACACTTTCTCTACTCACTGGTACTGAGTTCATGCATCACTTTCTTGCTCTTAAAGTCAGTTACTTTGATGTTGTTTAAGCATAGCAAATATCAATTGTATGGGACAAATTGCACCAGTGAACAATTATGTCTACCCACACAAGCACTCTGTGTGATGTGTCAGCAGGTGAACTTCACTTAATTGCTAATGAATTCAAATACCCTTTACAGATTAAGTAGGCCACCCAGGAAAATACAATAAACTCTTTGAGCGATGGAGACTGGAGGAGTAAGTAACCCCATGAGAGTGGGTGTGTGGATGGATATGGATACAGGCCAGTGACTGTGGGAGGTAATGGGCTGAGGAGGGAAGATGTCCAAGAGAGTTAGAGGAAAACGTTGGAAGAGATTTTTGTGTTCCAAATGATAGCAGCTACATTTATATTAAAAAGAATGATGCTTTTAAAATTAAGCACCAATATTCTGGCCTTTTCCCTTATTACTTTTTAAAATCATGTTTGCTTGTTTCTTTTCTGTTTATAAGCTCCAAGAATATAATTCCATTAAGTTTACTCATTTTGGAAAGTATTACCATCTATTGAGTGAATTTCCAGATGTAAATATGTTAGGTTTCCTTTGATGAAATGAAAATTCAGTCTAAAAAGAAAACATGAAATAGCCATTTATAAGCATGTGTACACAGATGCTAAAAGTCCACATTTCTTTGTTAATTTACAATACATATAACCTAGAGAAACAAGATGAAGCGGTAGGTTCACTGCACCTCACGGGTCTTCACTGAGGCTGGGAAATGGTCCTTCAGCATTTCCTGCAGTATAGAGTCTCTTTATCACACTTTGGCAAACATAAGCATTTGAAAAGATTCTACCTTGTGAAGGGATGTTGCCCTTTGATTTTGGTTCCTTCGGTGGCAAGGGAATTGAAAACTAATATTTTTTTTGTCTATAGTTATATTTTCCTGTGTGTGCTCTTCCTGTCCACTTTTATAATATTCTTCTTTTGCTTATTAATGCATAAACAAATACAATTTGAATCTCATATCACAGATTTTCTCAATAATTCTCTTTTAGTTTTTTCCTTAATGGCTTATTTTAGAAAAAAAATAGTTACCATTTATCTAATGAAAATGAGAGATTGTTTTGTTCTTGTTGTTGGCTCTTTTTTTGTTTGTTTGTTTGTTTGTTTGTTTGATTTAATGAAAGAGTCTCATGTAGCCCATAATGCTTTGAACTAGTTATGTACCTGATGAAGACCTAGAATTCTGGCCCTCTTGCCTCTGCGCCCCAAGTGATGGGATCATACTAGTGAACCATTATGCCTAGCTTAATTGACACTTTCCTTATTAGATTTATTGATATTATACTACAAAATTTGTTCTTAATTCTAGGAATATAAGAAAAACCCAATTTTATTAGTTATTTTCTTTTTTATATCTTTTTAATCTTAAAACAATATATTCTTATCTTACATACCAGTCCCAGTTCCCACCCACCTCCTACTCTCTCCACCTTCCACCCACCCTACCCCACTCCCCATCCACTCCTCAAAGAGGGTAAGACTTCCCCTTGGAGAGTCAAGGAAGTCTGACATATCACTTTGAGGAGGACCAAGGCCCTGACCCCTATATCTAGGCTGAGCAAGTTATCCCTCCAAAGAGAATGGGCTCCAAAAAGCCAGTTTAAGTACTGGGATAAATCCTGGTCCCCTGAATTAATGTTATTTTCTAATATGGTGATAATTTACAGATTAAAATCATACTTTTACATAAAGAATGATCACATATTTTTCTACCAAATAGAGGCTGCATATTTAAGAGCAAATGTAGGCTCTAGGTTTGCTGAAGCCTATATTTATAATTGTGTCTTAGTCTGGTCTCTGTTCTCCTGATCAGAATTTTGTTCCTTCTCTCAAACAAAATGACTTTCATGATTGCATTATAAAAATCCAATGAATAGATGGTGTCTTCAGTATGGGGTTGTAATATAGAAAGAGTTAAGGAAAGATTACAAAAGAAAAATGAAGGGAGAAATAGTTTCAGTCTCTCTCTAAAGAACAAAAACAAACAAAACAAAAACTCTCCACTCTCCTCAAACTCACAGGGAGGACCCATTTATGTTCTTTTCAGACTGTTCTAGAAAATAAATGTCTGTGTACATGAATGAAGCCTAAAACTTCCTCAGAATACATGCTTTACAATAAAAAAGAAAAGAAAAAAGCTGAGCTTAAATGTTAATTACCCTTGTAATTAACTCATCATTCCACGACTATCTGTTTCTCCATGCTAAATTGGCAGTAGTAATAATTATACTGCCAAGTTATTTATAGATAAGAGTTAATTTAAAAAACTCAATAATCACAACCCTAGACTATGGGAAGATTGTCACAAATTATTGCTAAATTTATCACTGTTAGAATTCTATAGCTATAGTTGTATAGCTGAGTGTCATGATACATTCCTATAGGCCCAACACTTGAGAAGCTAAAAAATTGAGAGGACAAATTGGAGGCAAACACTGAGTGTATAATGAACCTAAACCTACATAGATTTTTACAAAGTAAGACTTGGGGGTGTAAAGTAGAGGGAAACACTATGACCATTTATAATCCTGAGATTGCCTGGAAGTCTCAATTTTATTTTCAATTTTATTTATTACTTTTATCCATATATCTGTTAATTTATTTTTTGTTGTTGTTTATGGCCAGGATTATGCCCACATCCAACAAAAGCCTGGTCACCCTGGTCATCCACTTAGTAACTTAAGGCTTACTTCTATCAAAAGGGCTTGATTGGATTAGTTAGGAAACCTAAGGTAAGAACAGAGTGATTGTAGCCACATAGATTATAGCACTTGTAGGAGCTATCACTCCCATTAATATTGTTCAAATGTATATTATATCTTAATTATGAAATTGTGGAAAATTCTGATTAAGCCTTGAAAACTCCAGAAAAATAATTATAATACTAGCATCAGAAAAATGTCTCATAATTCTCCTACAAATTTTCTATTATAGATGAGATATGTGGTGACTATATTTACTCACGAAGGACTGTATGTTCTAGGCAAAAATAAAATTAGCATTGTAATTTATGACACACCTTAGAAATCTCCAATTATGAAGAAACTATGAAAATTAAGGATAAGTATCGACTCTGCAATCCTTCATAGAAGAAGCACGTACGCGCACAGACAGGCTCTACAGCAGGCCTCTGATGGAGACTCTTAAAGGACAGTATCATTGATATATTTGATTGCATTAAAGATCATAAAGAAGAGGATATAATCATAAATGAACAAATGTTTTGTTCTAGGGTTCATAATAGTCTCTGTGCTACAATTTCCCATCCAGAGGAAGATCTTACCTGTTAATCTCAGCTCCTTTATTTTGAACTTGTAACAGGAAGAAGTAGCACAGTATTCTCATTTGTGAAATTTAAATTAAATTTAATTATGTATTTCAAATAAGAGGCACAATTGATAGGAATCAGTATAATGAATGAAAAAATAATACAATTTGTCAGGACTTTTATGAAGTGGCTATGTTAGATTTTTGACCCTCACTATAGTTATGTGATACCTCACAAAAACATCACATAAATTTATTATCAAATTTTTCTAAATTACTGACATTTATCAAGCACTTACTAGGTGTTGGACTATTCTAGCATTTGTTACTGAGTTCTCTTTTTATACAATTGCATTAAATCCTCATAACAATGTTATTATTATATTAATTTTATAGATAAGAGAACAAAAAAACAGAAGTTTTATAATTTGCAAAAAGTCACAAAGCTGATGAGACTATGATTCAAATAAAATCAGCATACCTTCAAAGTCTTGCCTTGGACGATACTTCCAGTCACTATTGGAATGGAATGTGAGAATAGCCATGGGCATGCATTTTGCTGAGATGACCAATTACTGGCTCATAGAGTGAGTTGTCTTTAGAGTAAATGTTCTAAAGTAGGTGAAGTGAGGGATCATGAAGTCTGACAGTCCTGTCTAGTCCCAGCTTCCTCTAAGTAGGTATAGTGACTAATGGACACTCAGACTTCTTCGTACTACACATATTCTCACCAAGAATGTGAAAATAGATGAAATCACTGAACTTTGCTTTTACACAACATCCATGACCATTTATATACATCTCAATTATGAGATGTTTTAGCAAATGAAGTTTAGAGTATTTAATGACTGTCTTTAGCTCAAGACCATCACTATGAGAATTTAACAAACTAACAAGACCCAATGTTCCTTATTGTTCTCTTTAAGAAAGATAAAGAGACTTATAAATTACAAATTCTTCCAGGCTCAATTTTGACAAATTTGTTGTTGATTTGCCTTTTAACTTTGACCTTTACAGGAAAGATTCCATCATATATCTCTCATTGTTTTCTTTCTCCTATACATTTATAAAAGTGCATGTGATCCAAGCCTGCTCTCCAAGGCAACTGACATATTTAGTAACTAGAATTATCCTTAGAGTGATGCATTTTGCAAAGGAAACCAGTGTATTCTTTTCTCAGACTCCAAGCAAGTCGCCACCAAGACTCTCTGCACAAATAAAGAACCATCTTGTTGATCTGTGATTGTTCCATCTCTTAGTGTTTCAGCTTCACACATTCTACAGAACACACTTATGGTATAAAGTGAAGAAGAAGTCAGGGGCCATATTTCATGCTAGTAGTAAAAGGTGACCTAGGATAACCAAATCTGGACCCTGCTGTGCCATGAGTATGGCCATGGGCAAACCTACTCTGGCTCAGATTGTTGAGCTACTGGGCTGGAACGGAGAAACTCAGGCTCTTTTATGTCTTAATTATTCATTCCTTTTGAAGTCCCACTAGTACCAATTTGACAGAAATAGAAACTATGATCAAAGTCATAGGGACACTCATCCTTACAAACAGGACATGATCCAATTTCTAAAGATCCAGACCCACATTTTCCACCCAAATTGCTTTTATAGTGCAGTTTCAAGCAGCACATATTCACTTAAGTGACATTTTTGTGTGCTTGTGTGTGTGTTTTGTGTATGTTTAACACCAACTTATTGAAAATCTAAACAACAAAAACTTAGCACAGAGAAAAAAAGATCTTCATAAAAACCCAGATAAGAAGAACTTCATGGTCCAGTAATTTTCAAAACTTCTTGAAGTTATAAAAATGCTCTCTGAAAGAGAAAATGGGGACACATGAAAGCCATACAATGCAGTATGCATGTTGTTTTGTTCAACAGTCTTGGAGGGGAGGAATAAAACAACAATCATGACTGCAGGTTATTGAATTGCAGCTCACTGTTGTTAGTTTCTTAGCTTTGAGCTCAATGGGAACTTACTAAAATGTCTGATTTTTTTTCAGAAAATCTAAAATTATTTAAAAATGGAAAGAGCCTAGAAACAAAATCATAAACACCGTATCAGACTATCTTTCTAATACATATTATTTATGGATGTAGAACATTTGTTTACATTCGTTATATGTGATCATGATTGACAGTGGGAGACAAAGTACTCACTAAAAGCTTACCCAAATTTCACCATAATTACTAACACTGTCATTGTACCTGCTTCCTTTTTTTTTTTACATGAGAAAATGGGACCCAGATGTAAAGTTTACTTTGCAATTTAAAATTGGAGGTATTTAAACCAGCTTGGGATGCAGGGGAAGAAGCAGAACCCTTATGGCTCTCACTGTTCTATTTTAGTGTCATCCTAGTGGCTGCCTGATAGACCTCTGCCTCCAGATGGGAGTCATCATGTTTTTGAAGCAAATATGGAACAACTTCATGGAGCTGGGATATCCGTGAGCATGCTATCTTTAGACATGTCTTATATATAGTTATAATTCAGGGTTCATGAGCAGTGGGATGATCGGTCAGCTCCCACTCTGCTCCTTGCTAAATGTGTGATTGCCTGTAAGTTTAGGCTTTCTGAGTCTCAAAATTTTCATATCTTTGAGAAAAGATAAATAGTGTGATGAACTTCAGGACCAGCTGCTGGGATTAAAGGAACTAATGTACATAGAATACTAGTTCAGCTTGTTAACTATTTTTAAAACATTAGTAAGACAGAAATTTTGAAAATACAAACAATTTTCTGGTGTCTTTGACTTACCAACAGATATAAAGTGATGGCATTAATGTTAAAAAAAAATAGTTTACTTTCCTTCCAAAATGGTACGTTCAAGCAAAAAATTGTTGGACAGAACAATGTTTGACAGTCCTTTTATGATGCCTTCCTCATCTCTCCTCTATAAAAAAAATTCATTAGAAGCAATGTTATGTGATAATATCCTGTGAGGACATTTTCATATGATGGGGAAATTGATTAACTGATTGGGTATATAAATAGATTTATGTATAAATTAATGAAATAAACAGGGTCACTCATCAAATTTTACTTTCATTCTTTTATTCATGTCTTCCTATAAATGACATTTCTGACCTAGTAGTGGAGAAATCATATTAACACAGCAGCATGCTGAGTATTGGTGGTTAAACATTGGGGAGATTTAGTACATGGACTCAGAGCTTTCTATTTTTGGTCTGAATTCTTTCTCTGTTCCTTGCTAATTTTATTTTAGAGTTTAAGTCAGTAGAGTTTATGAGGTTCTTTTTCTTTGACTTGTGAAAGAAGAGATTTGCAAAGACTAAATAAAATGACCCAATATAATTTTAATAACAAAATACTTTGAAAGAGTTTATATTATATAGAAATGATATATATATATATACATATATATAACATGTATTTATATATATTACATATGATTTCTATATGATATATGTATACATATAGGTTATATAACAGATTCAATGAAATCTCTTTTAAATAAAGCTTATATGAAGATAGATGGGCTAGAGTCACTCACACATTTCTTCTCCTTTTGCTTATCACTTTAAAATGTATGGAATGAACCAGGAGGTGGTGGCACATGACTTTAATCCCAGCACTTGGGAGGCAGGGGCAGGAAGATCTCTATGAGCTCAAGGCCAGCCTGGTCTACAGAGTCAGTTCCAGGACAGCCAAGGCTACACAGAGAAACACTGTCTCAAAAAAAAATGTATTGGATGGGAGGTATAGGAACTTGACATCAAATGTGTGGCATAAGAGTGTGTCTGCCGTGAGCACTTCCGAAGTCCCAGCAGGGGAGAATTGCAGCCAGCCTTTATAGAATGATAAGGGTCCTTTGCATTGCCATCATATGTGGTCCACTGTTTTCATTGTTCATGTCTGATACTCATTTAAACCATGATCTTACTCAGATAATAAGCCTGGATCATGCATGCTAAAAACTGGGGGAAAGTAACAAGAGGTATTTCACATGTGTTTTCAAAAAATTTATGCAAAGGTCTTGTAAGGTGAAAACTTAGCAGGACTAAATGGATCACCAAAGCAGTGGCTTTCAAATTTTAAACCACAATTCTCCAATCAATTAAAATCTTAAGAAAAAATCAATGAAAATAAAGTTCAAATAAGCAGAGCTGTGTCAGTTCTAACCTGCCTCCCTGTTAGCATCTTTGTGAGATTCCAAGAGTGACCTCCATAGGATGTTGGCTAGAGAACTGTAAGGTATACGGTTTTTCCTCCTGCTGCCTGGTCTGGTCCTGCCACCACACAAGCCCCAAATAACATGCTGAGACTCTGTATTTGGTATAATTCTGTTGGCCAGGTACTAGTTTCTTATCGGATAGTTCTGTCTTAAGTATTAACCCATTTCTGCTGATCTATGTATTTCTCTTACCAGGGAGCCGGCCAGCATACTGCTTTCTCCAGACTCTCCATCTTGGCTTTCATTACTACTTCCCCTTTCCTCCTTGTCTCCTAGTCCCTCATAGCTAGCTTTCCTATTGGCCAACAGTGCTTTATTCATTAACTAGTATGATAAACATATACAGAATGACATCTCCCATCATCTCCCCCTTTTTTGTCTAAAATAAAAAGGGTTTTAACCTTAACATAGCAGAATATATCAAATAACAGTTATCAAATAAGAATCACAGTTAACACTATTTAGTCCATTAACATTTCACAAGATTTGAAGAAAATATTCCATCATCTATCCTATCTTTGTGTGTCTAAATCTATGTAACTTATTTTTAATACTAAGGAAAACTATAACCATAACTATCTGTCTTCAACTCCTTCAAAGACCACAGAAGGATAGTCTATAAACTCTAGAAATGACAGAGACAACTCACTTTGTCAGTCACCTGAAGTTGTTTTGTAATCTTCCATCTTCAGCCCATAGGCCATAGTGTGTCTGGCAGACTCTTCAGCAAAGCAGGAAACTTTAAACTGTCTTCTTGTATTGGCAGTTTGTCAGTCATTTTTCTCTGTGTCCTGCAGACTGTCTGGCAGACTCTTCCATGAAGCAGGAACGCTGTAGCAATGTCCATCTTGAATCAGCACTCACTTTTTTGTGGGTCCTGCATGTCCAGTTTATACGGCATAAAATCAAACAGTCCAGACAAGAGCAGTATCTTGTCCAAATGGCTAGTCTTGACATATTGGAAGTAAATTCCATAACACATTTCTTCAATGTCCATCTTCATCTTCCTTTCTGACTCAAGTGGTGTTACCATGAGCATTTATGTCTCATTGTCACGAAAACCCTAAACCATTTTAAATGCCATATACTATAGGTCTTTGAAAGGTTTGAAGAAGTCCTATATATTTTAAATACATCTCTGTGTATCATGAAAAACTAACTAACTTTAATTCTAAGCTTTGACTATCATAGGCAATTATCTATAATCTGTATTAAAGTATACATTACATTTCTAAATGAGCTATAAAAACACAATACCTAAATAAGAGAAATATACATATCATAAAATTGACCTTAAATTGTATCAGTAAATGAAAATCCATTCCAAAACAAAGTATCCATTTCTATACTATAATCCCCCTTTTACCTTTAAAAAGAATTGGCTGTGATCATTACCCATTTATAACCAACCCCATTTAAATAAAAACAAACATTTATAACAATATTTGGGAATTTGGGCGTCGTTCTTTCCAAACTACTTCCTGCTGGTAAGGGGCGCTGTCATGGGGGGAATCCTAAGAAGACGCAGAAATCCTGCAAGGCTGCTTTGTCCAAGCTGTTATGAATGTTGGATCACCAGGAACGCTGTTTCAGGGGGTCTGGCTTGCTCAAACCACATTAGTCCGGAAGGAATCCACAGCTTTTTATTTTCTGTGGAAACAAAAATAGAAATCCTTTTCCCCAGTAACTTGTCCTTAGACTTAAATTTTGGAGTCAAAGCATTTTAAAATATATAAATTGAATTAACTCAGCAGCATTTGTTTTAACAGTTGTTTCCTCAGCAGTCAAACAATACAAAGACAATATAATACCATACAGTAACCAGATTCTCTCTGAGCTTTTTGTCTTTATTTGGCTTTATTATTACTCTGTTTCTTTTACTTTTTATTTTTTTATTTTTTTGAGACAGGTTTTTTCTGTGTAACTCTTATCTGTCCTAGAATTCACTCTGCATACCAAGTTTACTTTGAAATCACAGAGATCTGCTTGCCTCTGTCTCCCAAGTGCTGGGATTAAAGTTGTGTGCCACCACACCCAGTTCCTCTTTGTCTCTTTAAAACCATTTTATTTTTTTTAATGTATATGTATATTTTAAAACACATTGTAAAACTTTAGAGGTTTTTTTTAATATGAATCTGTCGTTACTGTAAATCTTTATCTTTTTCTGGCCACAAGTCTTTTATCTGGTAAACAACAACATTGGTAAAATGAAAGTCTTTGTTGTTTCTGCCACGGTCTATCCAATATGGCAGCGGCTATTTTCCTGGCAGCAGTGAGAGCTGTGGTCATTGCCTTGGTCTACAGGCAGCAAGCAGCAGGTTGCCAGCTTGGAGATGTGGTCATTGCCATTGCCAGCTCTGATACATACCAATAAATTGTTAGCAGTGCTTTTTTTAAAGCCTTGCAGTTTTTTGCCACTTATGGTGAGTCAGGAAATTTTCCTTAAAAGGAGCCATGCAAACATCTGCTTGTCTCTCAGAAGTCAGAGTCCAAGCGAGAAAAATCCTATTACCAAGAAACCTTGATTGTCTTTGTTCTTTTGTTTCTAAACCCCTTTTTTAAGCTTTTGTTAAATTTTAAGTGAAAGTTTTAGCCACGTGGGTGCCATTTGTAAGGTGTACGGTTTTTCCTCCTGCTGCCTGGTCTGGTCCCGCTGCCCCGCCAGCCCCAAATAACACGCTGAGACTCTGTATTTGGTATAATTCTGTTGGCCAGGTACGAGTTTCTTATCAGCTAGCTCTGTCTTAAGTATTAACCCATTTCTGCCCGATCTATGTATTTCTCTTACCCGGGAGCCGGCCAGCATACTGCTTTCTCCAGACTCTCCATCTTGGCTTTCATTACTACTTCCCCTTTCCTCCTTGTCTCCTAGTCCCTCCTATCTAGCTTTCCTATTGGCCAACAGTGCTTTATTCATTAACCAGTATGAGAAACATATACAGAATGACATCTCCCATCAGAGAACTGCTTTTTCCAGGAGATTCTGAATCTCCAGTTACTTAAAATTGAGCTTTAGTTACTATTCATTGAGCTATGAAAACTTATGACATCCTAGAGTATCTTCTCAAAGTCTTAAGAATTTTGTTACCCAAAAGCCCTTCTCATTGCCTCCCAGGATATTTTTAGACTTCATAGTATCATGACCATTCCCAGGCCAGAGGCAGAGTATTTTCACTTATTTTCCAGACCTCAGGCAATGGCTCATGTAAGCATATCCACTGCCTGACAACTTTACTTAACTTTAGTAGCAAAGTATTGTTATTAATGTTCAAGCTTGATAAACTCAAAGAAGTTGTGATTTAATAAAAATCCCACATGCAATGCATGGCAGGATGGAGACCAGAACCTAGGACTCTTGAAACTTTGTTTGCCTGATATTTATTGCAGAGCATAATTATATTTATATCCATATGAACAGCCCAAAAACTGATGGAGTATGAGCAATGAAGGGCTCAGACCTAAAGACAACAGTCAACATAGGATTTTTTACAGGTGGAGTTGGGAGAAATGAATTTACCTTAATCAGTATCAAGAAATGGCTAAGTTTCACGGCAATGAATTCCATATAAATATCCAGATATTTGCAGAGTCTTAGAGAGTTACAAATGATAAGATCTAGAGGATCTAGTAACTGTCACTAAATCTTCTTAACACTATACTTTAAAGATTTACAACCTTTTAAAGTTCAGACTTAATTTTCACTTATTGAAAATTTAAAACCATGACTATCTTCACTTCCAAGAATACATGATGTTACAAAAGATTAGTCTAAATTTGTTATTTCTTAGGAAAATATACATTTTCCACAGCTGCTTCAGTAACAGGTCACACATCTTTGGTCTGCTCTCTGATGCAGGTTAATCCAAAACTGGTGGTCACGACATAAAATCAAGAGAGGAATACAAGATGCTTCCATACCACAATGGGAAAATGACTGGAATCTTCAGCCCATGAACATTCACGGACTAATGGACGAGTACTTAGAAATGGGTAAGGAGAGGCTTTTCTGCAGGACCATTTGGCATCTTGGATATTGCTTTTCTACTTTACATGAACTTCAGTTTAAGAGAAAAACAGCAATAATGACAATATTCTCCTTTTGCACTGATTATTCTTAAATACAAGTGAATTTTTGGTTGTGAGACTAGCCTTCATGGTTGAGTTATTCATTCCTCCAGTGCATTACAAGTGAATTTTATCCTAGCAAAATCAAAGCTGCGAGACACTTCCTGTATGCTCTCACATACTCTACAGTCAGGAAGCCATGACATTTAGTCAGAATGAAGTTGTTTTCACAATGAAGCATCCGGCTTTTGAGCAACATTCTTTTTTAGTTAAAGTCTCACTGTGCAGTTAATACTGATCTTAAACTTGATGAATAACTCAGGCTAGCCTTGAAATCACAATTGTCCTGTCTTGGTATCCTTCCTCAGTGCTAGAATTATAAGCATGCATTGCCATGCCAGGCTAGTGAACAAATATCTTGATGAAAAATAAAAAAGCTGGATCAGCTTATTATTAAGAAAAATACTATCCTCCTCAAAGAAAGTCAATGTTATTTTTAAATAACATTTTTATTAATTCCTTAATATTTCATTAAATATATTTGGCCATATTTACCCCCCCTTCCCCAAACTCTTCCCATATCCATCCTTTCCATACTCTCAAAGTCAGTCTGAGTTTCTGTAGGAATGTTGCTAATTTATATTAAGAAAATTAGGATTCCCAGTCCAATTGTTTCCTTGTTTTCTGACCTTCAGTATCCTCGTCTATAAAAAGAGAAGCCAGGGCAGTATATTGGAGATCTTTTAGTTCCCTGCCAGAACCTTAAGGAAAATTCTCTTCTTTGCCTGTCTTTGTAATAGTTTTTTTCCTCCCCTCTACCCTCCCCTTCCCCTTTTATATCTTTTCCCTTTCTGTTTAATTCCTTCCCCGTTCTTCTCATATTGTTTAGGGGCAGGGGAGAAAGCAGATGTTAAATATACCCATATCTGAGATACAGCAGGAGTTTTTTTAAATTTTCTAGCCATCTTGTCTATAACAAATTTACTTATCTCATAGGAACAGTTTCTTCAACTGTAAAAATAAGAGTATTTACTGGGTAGAGGTATTATTAAAGGTAATTCATCTAATGTAGATTTTATTATGTATATTCATAACTCCCTAATGTTCTGTCTTACAGTTTTGCAATTTGGTTTTACCACCATCTTTGTTGCTGCTTTTCCTCTGGCCCCTCTTTTGGCTTTGTTAAACAATATCATTGAAATCAGATTGGATGCATATAAATTTGTAACCCAGTGGAGGAGGCCTCTGCCAGCCCGAGCAACTGACATTGGTAAGGCTCAATTTTTCTTTTTTGAGATAGTATATGCAACATATCTAATATCTGGAGTATGAGATACATAATATAAAACCAATGAGGGGGTTGAAGATGTGGCTCATCTGTTAAGAGCAATCATTGCTGTTCCCAGGAACCAGAGTTTAGGGCTCATCATGAACACTGGGTGGCTCACATGGCAATCTGATGCTCTCTTCTGCTCTCTGCAGGTATAGAAATACGTGAACACACACACACACACACACACATACACACACACACATACACACACACACACACAGTAATATAATATAACCCTTTTTGCTTAAAAGAAGTAAATGGTGCACAGAAATGTGGCTCAAAACAAACAGAATATTCTTGATAAAATAAAATAAATCAGAGTTCTTTCATCTTTTTCACTTACATTCACTAACTTTAACCTTTCTCCTACCAGGTATCTGGCTTGGAATTCTCGAGGGAATTGGCATATTGGCTGTGATCACCAATGCTTTTGTAATCGCTATTACATCTGACTATATCCCACGTTTTGTCTACGAATACAAATATGGCCCTTGTGCAAACCATGTAAAGCATAATGAGAAGTAAGGTTAAAATTTACATATTTTTCTGATCTACTTTATAGTTGCAATTAAAGGGAGAACTTACAGGGAAGTTTTTTCTGTGGCCATTAAAAAGTAATGTTTCTGGTCATTGTATTTATAAAGTGTTTATTAAATGAATGCAAATGGGACTAAGAACAGAACGTGCTTTCTACAGCAAGCAACTAATTTTAGAGACCCTTTTTCCTTGAAAATGTGTCAAAATGCTAAGAACATTCTAATACTTCTAGAAAGGTCCAGTTCTAAAGCGTGAACAGACTCTTTGAAATCTTCAAACTAGACAATGCAGTGTTGTTGCCATGCAGATGGGAAAGTGAAGCTCATAAAAAGGGGGACAAAGACAGTAAAAAGTGAGAAACAGAACCTGCAGAGTCTGTCATCTTTGCGTCTGGAAATTTGCAGGAAGCATACAGAGCCAGGGGTCTGACTGATGCAGAATCACCTCCCTTTATGTGGTTAGTATGTGTTTTTCATTCCAAATTGAAATACACACTTCAAAGTAGGGTAGCCTATCAACCTTTGCAATACTTACCTTTTTGGTTCGGTTCGGTTTGGTTTGGTTTGGATTGGTTATTGATACTTTAATTCAAACAATTCTTTTAAGTCAGAAAGAGGGCTGTTTTGCTCACTGTGTGATGATTAGAAGCACATGTGGTCTCTAACCAGCTGATACAGTGACAGATACCCTAATTCATACATTCTGATACTAGTAGGTATCTTTAGACTTTGCCTGCTGTCCTCTGGGAGACAAAATAACCAGATAGAGACAACTACATCAGGAAGTATTTGTTATTTCACAATTGTCCTTTGAATTAGATATGGGAGGGCAATGCATGTGAAAACTGACTAAAGAGAACTGGGCCACCTTAAAAAGCTTTGTGAGTGGATTTCGGCCTTAGACGTAAATTCTATAAGAAAAGGCAGAAGAGTGAGAGCAGCAATAGCTGTGGATAGAGATCATGGGCCAAAACATGAGGAGCCTTGCTTTTGGGTGGCATTGCCCTTTAACTAACTATTGGAGAACTTGTACTTACCCAGAACACTGGGAAAGGTCTCTTCTTTCTTAAAGGAGTGGTAATAGAAGCAATGGAATGGTGATTTTTGTTCGAGTCCTTAAGAGACTTAAAGGGATCCCATGTTGGGCACCTTAAATTTGATTGGATTTACATCTTATGACATGGTTAATTCATAATAATGAGTGTTCATGGGCTCTACGATTATGAAATGGTATCTGAGAATGCACACCATGTGAATATAAGGTCGTCTCAACATCAATAGTGAAAAACTAGAATGCTGCCTTTTGCTAATGCAAAGCTTCTAGGAGCAGATTTAATGAATTTGAAAAGTATAATTGGCTAAGATCAACTGTGAAACACGAAGAATTGCTGTCTGGTAGCCTTACATAAATTACTTGCTAGTAACTCTGTTGCCACCTAGTGGTTGTTGAAAATTCTACTGGCTGAGTTTACATTTCAGAACCTGCCTTTCCAGTGGACAGTCCATATTCAGGGACAAGTTTCAGGTGTATACCATTGTCAGTCACAGTGATGTAGTTCTTCTGTGAATCAGACATCATATATCAAGAAGGACATTCAATTCCTTAATTATCTTCTAAGTATACATAGCAATGAGGTTGAAAAATCTATTCAGATTAGAAATTTTCGGTGTAAGTCATGAAGAGACAGACAATATTGAAGAGGAAAATATTGACCAGAAAACATTCGACGGATATTATAAGCCATAGAATGGACAAGGAATACAATTACCATTGTTGCATTGTGACTAATATTTCAAAGGTGAGATTATAATAGATATGTCTTTGAACTCAGATTTAAAAAGAAACTTTTCCCTAGATATGTGATCTGCAAGCATCCTTCAATGTCTATAATTTTTACACCATATTAAAATTATTTATTACATTATTTATAATACTAGTATTATATAATATTATTTGTTAGTGTATTTGTTTATATTTACCTATTGTGCTATGAGGGTGCATTGTGTAAGTTAGAAGACATTTGGGGCATTTTATTTTCAACACATAGGTTGAAGGCATACAACTCAGGTCCTTAGGCTTCATAACAAGAAGTATGACCTGCTAAGCCATCTCACCAGCCCATATTAACAGTGTGTTCACAATAACACTAAGACTTTATTTTTCCCTTTCAATTTTTACATTTAGATTAATGGCTCAAAAACAATGATAATAATAGTTCAGGATGACTCCTGAACAAAAAACACCCATAAAAGTAAACTGAATAAAAAATCAATAGGAAAAGTATAAGGAAGAAATGACAAAGACATGAGACAAAAATAAGAAATCTCAATATTTAAAATAGGAGGAATAATGGCTTTTTTAACATCCCGCCACTTGTAAAGAAGAAATTATTCCATAAATTTATGAATTTGTGATTCATATAGTCCTGTTATTTTCTCCTAGTTGCCTCAAGGGATACGTCAACAACAGCTTATCCTTCTTTAACCTGAGTGAGCTTGGTATGGGAAAATCTGGCTACTGCAGGTACTTACCTATAACGTATTAATCTTTTCTGCTGCTTTTGCCATGTTATCTCCTCTCCTCTATATGTAAAACAGCTCATTTGGCCTATCATTTTGGAGTTTTGGTAATCAAGGACGTTTCAGTATCTTTCACGCTTTCTGTTTTTGTGGCTTGCAGGTACCGAGACTATAGAGGCCCACCTTGGAGTTCCAAGCCCTATGAGTTCACATTACAGTACTGGCACATCTTGGCTGCTCGATTGGCCTTCATTATTGTGTTTGAGGTTAGTCATGGGACAGGCAACTGTGGATAACAGCTTTGCTGATTCATATATTAGTTTGATGTCAATTCTTCACTGAGTCCTAAGAAAGGCCTTTGGTAGGCCTGGGAAAAGGCTTGAATAAGGTAAACCCATTATAAAGAGAAAATGAATGAGCAAGATTGAATAATGTAACCACAAGTTAATAGGTATTTCTACAACAAAATCAAGGAGAAAGATATTTTCTCATAAAATTGCGAGGCTCCTAGTTTTAAGCTCCTAGTGGCCATGATTAAAGAAATGGGTGGCTTTGTTGAGCAGATAAATGAATCCACATCTCTCATGAGGATAGAACACTCAACCTATGAAGATAGAACATTTCTGATTAATTAAGTCAAAATACAGTCAATCACACATATATATTTTTAAAAAAACATTAGGTAACTCTGTATTTTGCCTAAAACTTTTATTAAAAATCATTGGACTTTGATTTATCACAGACACGATAGCAATGAATTGTAGTTCTGTGAGGCAATTTTGATGGAACTGCATACAAACATTATCATCTGGTTTTTATAAATCATGATACAGGGAAGAATTGAGCACTGAGATGTAGTAAGCAACTCCTCTGAATTATCACTGAGTCAATGAAAGACTTAATATATTTTCTGTGGGCAAATCTAAATGTTTAGAACATTAACATTTATCCAGGGTTGGTCTTAAACTCCCAATCCTCTTGTCTGTGCCTCCCAAGCACTAGAATTATAAACACGAAATGCCACACCTGGTTCCTATGAATCTAGGGGTAGAACCCAGGGTTTTTTGAATGCTAGGCAAGCATTCTACCTACTACTGTTGGAATTGTTTTTTAAAAAAACAAGCATTCATTCCAAGTGATTTCCAAATATAAGTTAAAAATTTGTAATGAAATAGCTGAAAATGTAACACTTGTCTCTAAAGGTTTTAGCCAGGACTAAAAGTTCTCTGATTGAATGACTCTCAGAATCAGTAAAAATGCATCATACTGAGTGAGACCTTCTACTTTATTGCAAGTAGTATAATAGCTTAACTTGTATTTCCAATCCAATATTACAATGAGATGTTTGTTATGATCTAGTTTTAAAATAGACGTATTTTCAATATTCCTCAGAACTCAGGTGAACAAAGTTAATCAGACAACCCAGAGTACCACTCATGGGTTCATGTGAGACTCTCTTCTTTTCCTTTCTTCATTCCTTATTACTGTTCCCATAACCCCCAATCAACTTCTGTGAAGCCTTTATACTTGTTGATTTTTAAGTAAGGTTGTTCATCTAGGTATAAAAATATAGTATCATTTTAGGTGTTATATTTTCCAAAACATAACTTCAATTATTTTGTATGTTAAAGCTTTTTTTATCTTTTACTGACTTTACTTTAGATCTAGGAAGACTTGTCATCGATCACTCCCTGTGTTTAGAACACATCTGCCAATGTGAATTGTAATCTTAAAACATGAAATATATTTATTTTCATATATTAGACTACTAAATCATGGCAATGTTTTTATTTGTATTTTAATAATTTTGAAGAACATTATTAGATATTTTAAGTATCATATATTTATATGATCAGGAAAGAAAGTCCTGATTATACACGGAAAAACATGAACTATTTCATTGGTATCTACTTTGCAATGCAGTTTCTTGGTACTCATAGCAAGTACAACTAAAAGTAAAGTGAATTCTTCCTTTTCTCATAAAGAGGTTATTGTCCAATGAAAGCCCTTTACATGAAGGTATTGTTTTAGCACACCATACCATCCCCACAAATATCACATTGTTCCCTCTCTTTTCCTAGAAGTGGTAAGAAGTACCATTCTCTTAGGATATGCATAACAGCAGGAAGTGCCATTTGAGCAAGGCTCATACTTTACTGAGCACTCTTTTAAGCTCTTCAAGTGCGTGTTTATTTAATTCATTTAAGAGGTAGCATTGTCATCACATAAACACAGAAGGTAGAAGATATGTCCAAGAGTAAACAGCTCCTAAGTGTTAGTAGGATAAAGGCCTAATTGGTCTCATTCCAATTCTGAGCCTTTACTTACAAGTATAATGCCTTTTGAATTACATTTAGTTGTTCAAGTCTAACACTAAGGCTGGGTGTGGTGGTGCACCTCTTTAATCCTAGCACATTTGGTACAGAAGCAGTCTGATTTCTATCAGTTTGTCAGTTTGTCTACAAAGAAAGTTCTATGCAAGGCTGACCAAGAATATATAGCAAAATTATTTCTCAATAAATAAATAAATAACACCACTACTGATAGTTTATTTTAAAACATAAATAATACATATTTTATCAAAGTTATGTAACAGATCAAATGTTTTGTAGTACTTATAGCAATAGTGAATTTATAGAATGGAATTTCTGAAACACAAATTTGTTGTGGTTGAGCCTAATTGCTGGCTCACAGGTTTAAGTAGCATGCATTTAGGCCTATTAAAAATACATTTTCCTAGAATAGCCTTTCATATTTATTTCTATTAATGTGTATTATAGTAATATTTTATAGTGTGTAAGAATTGTGAACATAAGAATATAAGATGCATTTTATTAAATATCATCATATAAACTGGAAACAATTTTTGATGTCTAACTAATGCTCCACAGTGGCAGTCATCAATATTTGTGTTCTCTGTCCTGAAAGTAATATTTATCTAAGTGCTACACATTAAATTCTGATGCTTAATTTTAAGGCAAATGCATCATAGTTCACGACTTTTCTGTTTGACAAGAAGTGTTCTGGAACCTTTGAAAACATAGTTTTTACTCTTAATTTACAGCACCTCGTTTTTTGGGATTAAGTCATTCATTGCATACCTGATTCCAGATATACCAAAGGGCCTCCGTGAGCGTATACGGCGAGAGAAATACTTAGTCCAAGAAATGATGTATGAGGCTGAGCTGGAACATTTACAGCAACAGCGCAGAAAAAGTGGTCAGCCTATTCACCATGAATGGCCTTAGGCAGTACCTGTTACCCAAAAGGGGAGGTAACATTAATATGAAGGAATGTGACCCTTGAAATGTAGATGGCATCCATGAGGAAGACATATTTGGCCAACTATTTGTAAAAAAAGGCTACTTGGAAATACATCACAGCAGCCTCTGGCACTTAGAATGCTCTGACTTTTATAGAAAGAAAAGACTTGAGCCTCCAAGGGAATACAACTGAAACAGCAGGGAGCCAGGCTCTGATCTTAGAGCAAGCCCTCTGGGGGGGTGGTTCTGTGTTTTGAGTCCACCCAGCTCCATCAGGTGCAAAGCAAGTAGAAAATGTGGTGGTAATATTTCCAGAGACAAATTTCATGTAAATGTTCACAAGCTGATATTACTAATCAGATTCTAGGACTTTTGCTTGAATTCAGATGTTCACAAGAAATGAATTAAACCTGCCCTTGGCTCTTATGTCAGAGCTCCCTGTCCCATCAGCTTACAGGCTAGTGGAGTTGTTTTTATCTGGTTGAGATAATGGGTGTATGTGCATGGCATTTGTACTGCTTTATGTTGACCATGCACTTGAACAGTTGCACATCACATAGTAGCCAAACCAAAAATCCAAGTTTCAAAAAGTACATCTTTGGATTAATTCTATTATATTGGCCGTGTTTAAATTTGCTTAATCACCCAGAGCCAAGTGCAATGCCCATTTTTTTAAATGGATGCCAACAGATCAACTTTAAATATTTGAATGACTATTCTAACATCATTTAGACATGACTAAGCCTATCTTGTATTCTATTCCACATGCCTCTCTCTGAATTATTACAAATCTCACAGAACACTATGCTGAAACAATGTAAATATGTCAATGTTCCTTTACGTTTGCATTTTTACACTGTGTAATACAAGTTCCAGCTTATGGAGCTCTAAACCTGTTACACAGGATGCTACCGTATCTGTTCATTCAGGAAATCCGAAGCCAAATGTTCTGTAGCACTTATGCTTATCCTAGAATGTGCACTATCAATTATGAGCTGATGAAATAATGCATGTATATAGGTTATTGTTCACATAAAATACCTTTATGAGTTTCACATTTTAATCATGGAATGGAGATCTGGGTTTTGGTTTTTGATGAGTTGATTTCATTTCATTTTAAAATTGTCTAGAAACAAAGTCAAACTAATTGTGAAGATCATAATTTCATTTGCTGTAGCATCCTTATTTGAATGTCAATTTTATCCACACACTAATGGAGCACAAATGAAGGGATATTCAATTAAAGGAAGTTGAGGAGGCATAAATTAAGGGGGCAGAATAGATGGAAAGGCAAGAGGTGGAGTAGATGGGTATATGGTTTAAAAAAAATATATTTTCCCATGCAATACAAGATGGTCCAGCCTTTTATGTTTCCTGAGAATAAGGTGGGAAATCACACAGAGAACACACACATACACATACACATACCTACATAAAGAGAAAACAATTTGTTCACTTTGGTTTTGTTCGATTAAGCAAAACAAACATTTACAAAATTGGAAATTAGTTTCACTTCCTGGAAGTGTGCTGTCCCTAATTCTAACACTTAAAAATGCTTTGTTGGATTGATTATGGTTATTTTACAGTTCTGCCAAAAACATTCACTCCTATACTTTATGATTCTGGGCTAGGTATATTCCCTGGAACTCTAAATTCTTCCACAAGATCTGAGGATATAGCTCAGTGTAGTGTGTCTCTAGCATGCATGAGGTACACTTAGACTCAAATCACATCATCTTTCAGCAACAATAGATAGATAGATAGATAGATAGGTAGATAGATAGATAAATATGAGATATGTAGTAAATTTCTAAACAAATCCTTGTTCCTGGGACTGTTCTACTGAAAAATATAATGGTTAATTTCACTAATTATCCAATAAAGATTTCAGCTCCTCTATTTTAGACCATTTGTGCTCCCTTTTCTTTAATAATTAAATGTATACATGTGCCTGAGCATAATATTTTGTTTACCTAACATTTACATCTTTTCCAAATTAGGGATGCAAGACAGAAATATGTCTCACAGGAGGACAAATAATAATAGCTTTTTCCTTGAGAATTCTTTTTCTAGGATTTTCTATAGTCCATTTGGGGTTTAAGTCATATTGATTGATATGAACAGAGAAAGATATTTTAATAAATGGTATGTTATATTAATTTATAAAATGCCTTCCATGATATTTTGAAACAGATATGAGAAAACAGAGAACCAAAAAAAAAATATTGTCTGAAATGTTTGCTTTGTAAAGGGTTGCAGGACAATCAAACTTGTTTTTATCATAACCGGCAGCAAAATAGACAGCTCCACACAGTATGTTAACTTTAGTTAACTCTACTTAAGCTGAGAGAAATGTTTTATATGTGTTTTTCATATGAATATAAATTATTTCTCAAAGATTTATAGCACACACTATTCTCAGGAATTCTGTATGATGTGAATGCTGCTCATATATTTTCATATTCTTACTTGTTATCTTTTTATGCTAATAATTAATGTGCATGCACTCGGCCTTGACAAGTTGTGTGAACCATTTTAAGTCTTAACTGTAACAGCTCCCAATTGTATGAGTCTGTGTAGGCACTTTTAGGTGAGAACTGCTGCCTGGCTGCATGATGAGATTCAACTTGAATGCTAAATGATTCTTGACACAATATACTACACAATGGAATGAATAGATAATTTTTTTCACTCAATAAATTATCATTTTTACTATAATCTACACATTACAGTTCATTCTGCTTCTTCTTTAAATGTTAAATTAGGATCTGATCTGTTGAATGTGTATGGGCTAGAAAGATTATACATTCTTTAGCCACTCAAAATAATAGTCTTGAGGAAACTTACCATATTCCGACTATCACTGTGCAAGCATGGATCATCAACAATTACATAAAAAGCCAAACATGGTAGAATATGTGTGACCCCAACTCTACCGAGGCAGAACTATGAGGATCTCAGGGTCCAGTCAATCACTCTCTTTTTCACCTATATTATGTTTTTCCCAATCACTATTAAAATCACCTAGGGCAAATAAATCTTCAAAAAAATGGATTTGGAGAGATGGCTCAGCAGATAACAGCACTTGATACTCTTGCAGAGGGCCCTAAATTGGTTCCCAGCACTCATTTAATGATGTAACACCATCTGTAACTATAGATCCAGGAGATCCAGTTAACCTCTGGGGACATAAGGCACACACATGTGTTGTGCAAACATACATGTGTAAAAACTTATCATAATAAATAAATAATAAAACAACAATTAACATTCTTTTAAGGATGAAAAGCTTTATTTTTAATCTATGGTTCCATGAGGATAGAATCTTCATGGCAACAAAGGCATAATGGAAAGCAAGATATTACAATTTTCATACACACACAGGAAGTATAGTGAGGGGAGCGGGAAATGCGTTGATACTATAAACCCTCAAACCCAACCCCAGAGACATTCTTTGTCCAGCAAGGTTCTACATCCTACATATTCTATAACTTCCACAAACTGGGCACTACCAACTGGGCACAATGAGTTCAAACACATGAACCTATGGGAAGCATTGCTCATTCAGACCACCAGAACATGCCAGACAGCTGTGACCATTTACATAATATTGCCCTCTAGAGTATTATATAGGGAGTGGCATGATTAGGAGGTATGGCTTTGTTCGAATGAGTATGGCCTTGTTGGAAGAAGTATGTCACTATGGGATTGGGCTTTGAGTTTTCCTATGCTCAGGCTATCACCCAGTATCTCAATTGACTTCCAGTTGCCTGCAAGATGTAATACTCTCAGCTCCAGCACCATGTCAGCTGCATGCCACCATGATCCCTGCTATGATGACAATGGACTGACTCCCTGATCTGTAAGCAAGCTACCTCAATTAAATGTTATCCATATAAGAGTTGCCATGGTCATGATATCTCCTCGCAGCAATACACACTCTAATATAATAGCTTAAAGGTGTAAGCCAAGAGGCTGAGTATTTGAACACTGTTCTGACAATGCATTGTGAAATTAACCAGCACAGTATCCCTGGGTTGGGATAGGAAATTAAGCACAAATACAGTGCAAGCCAAGGAAGGATACTCATATCTCATAGCAAAGAATCACCAACTTATCCATTTTGAGTTTTAAACTTGATAGTTAAACTTGAAAATTAGTGCTGCTTATTGAATAATTTAACTGATACAGGTGGATAGATTAATAGATCAAATGGGCAAGTTAAAAAAGAAAAGTCACCAGATATTTGTATCCATTTTCCCCTAAGTATTTGTCACAATTACTACCAAACAGCATTCTGGATTTTATAGAAGGAGTTAGTTAACATCTTATTTTACTGCTTCTATTTTTGGAACTCCAAGGAGAACATTTTGAGGAAACCAAAACTCTTGGTTTCATTTGGAAAGGTAAATGTTTTCCTATAAGCATTTCTATTCAAAGTGAAGTATGTCAAAATTACATAGACTAAAGGAAGGAATAATTCATCTTTAGCTTGAATTATTGATCAGCCAAAGTTCCTACTAATTTGGATTTTTATTTGTGTAGAGATGATAATTATCTTCCCATCAAGCTTGCCATCTTGGTTAATCTGGAAATTATGTTTGGGACTATATTTGATAGCTTTCTTCCTAAAGACCATCCCTATTTCATCCACAGTAGCTTCAAAAAAAAAAAAACAGCAAAAGTTAAAACAGGTAGGTTGGTTGAAAATGTCTCCTAGTCAGGGCTAATCTAATGTCTAGCCAGAGAATAGAAGCCTAGTGGATTCCTAAACCTACTTACTGCATTGTAATGGGTGAGCTGTACATCTCTTCCTGATAAAGCTACTTCAGCATTTCTTTTTTATTTTAAATATTTTCTACTTAAATTTGAAACAAGCTTGTTTTTCATGTCAATCTCAGTTCCCTCACCCACCTGTCCTCCCCTTTACCCCCACCAACCCTCATCTTATCCCTTTTATGCTCCCCAGGGAGGGTGAGGCCTTCCATGGGAGTCTTCAAAGTCTGTCATATCATTTGGGGCAGGGTCTAGGCTCTCCCTGTGTGTCTAGGCTGAGAGAGTATTCCTCTATGTGGAA